ATTAATCATTACACTCTATTTCCCCTCAGGGGAAACAGAGCTGCCCGTAATTCTCCATTTCCATATTCAGTGAGAATTAGGGTAGCCTCATTCTCCCCAGGAACCCATTACATCCCATCCCACCCTTCCTCAGCCCCCTGCCAAAAGCAGGAGCAATGAGATTCAACACAGAGGCTCCCTGTCGTTGTGTTTCTGAAATGGCAGCTGGGCAGTGGCAGTGTCCAGGCTGGATGGAAGGCCTGAACCAAGGTTATTTCACATCCCAGAGAAGTTCCTGCAATAAGATATAGCATGTGGTAGCCCCATTGCTGACAAGGGCTGTCACAAACACCTTCATGTATTAAATAAGCAGCCACAGAGGAAGATGTTTCAGCATCTGCTATGAAAATATTACTTAAAGTGGATCTCCACTCATGACCATAGACTACCTTTATTCTTCAGAAAAGAACTCTATTGCAGAGGAAAAAACCCATGAAATTAAACACTTATGCAGAAACCTTACATTTTGAGCCTTGAGCATAACCCCTTTGACACAGCAAACTCAAAATACAACATTTAATAGTTTGGTGCTGTTTGAATAACTTAATCTGAAAGAATCAGGCTAATTCCAGTCATTCAGAGATTTATTTTTCTTTGTTTGGGGCCACCTGCACAACTTGCTGTCTTTCAATGGGTTGTGTCTTCATCTGGATCTTAGTGAATGACTCATTTCTGTTTGATGCATTCGCTTGGCATCTCATATCTTCTGAAAGCACATATTTAATGAAAGTGTGTGTAATACCTTCAGTTCTGTTTATTTTAAAATGCACCCCAAGCGACAAATTATATATTCCTGAAGACGAAAAAAATTAAGACTATAGGAATGGTGAATGCTGTCATGTGAAGTCCAGAAATTTGGGACTTCTGAATGCAGGAAGCAATTTGAGGATTCTTACCTCAGGCAATCCTTGTGTGATTAAGCTGCTGCAAGACAGGCTAAGAGAATGAGTCATGTTATTTCATGGCATGCATGATGAAACACATCTGTGTTGTGTGACTGTGGATCAGAAATATGAAATACATCTGTGTTGTGTGACTGTGGATCAGAAATATCTTGTATTCTACCAAAGCAGCATTTATGGAGTTGCACTCAGGATCCAAGAGTGGTCAGGGAAGAAAATGAGAATTCCAATGCCTGTGCTGCCAGGGCACTTGACACAATTAGGGGGTAAAAGATGGCACTGTACCACTACTTGGCTGGGTGGCCAGCTTCTCAACACCAGGCACTGGCTTTTGGGTACTGAACTGAAGCAATTTGAACAGATTTTTGACTGTCAACATGTGTAGCAGTTTCCTCTGAAGACTGAGGCCTCTTTATTGTACCTTGAATCGAGACACTTAAAATAGTAGCCAAATTGAACCACCAGACCCTAGGGGGTAAATGGTACACACAGCCTGTTTTGAAAATCTTCACTTTACCATCTTACTGCCATGTAGTTCCAGTCTAAGATGGATTTTCTCTTTAAACCTTTGAATTAAATAAATACAAAATCTAGATGTATACAGGCATTAACCTTTTTCTCTTGAGCATTCCTCTTGGTCCTCAGATTTTACATCTAGTGCCTTTTCAGCTTTCACATTCTTTAAAACTAGAGTCATGTGGAGACATTTTAACACTCAAAGCAGTTATCCATGCTCAGGTTAGTAGTAAAAGGAAATTACATTGGTAAGATATATTAAAAACCGTTTACTGGTTTTTATTGTTCAGGAGACACTGAAGAAATCCTGATATTTGACCCACCCAAATAGTTTAAATATGGACTGATAATGTGACCTTTTGCAACAGTTTCTTTATCAAGAGGATTATCAGTTATGATTCATGGACTCTTGAGGAGTAAGAATTTTATGTAATTCTGTGTAACTGCATAAAATGATGGAAAGAGATTTTAGATCCACTGTCACTTCTGCTGCACAGCATGGCTTTTATAGCATCACTTTGGAGTGATCCCTGAAGGGTTTATAATACAAACTATTTAACTTAACTTTGTGGACTCAGAAAGCAAAAAATCCCAACCATCATGGAGTCCTGGGATACAATGCAAACTGCACATCATCCTTTCAGGCACATTTTCATCAGGTCAGCTCTTCTTTTCATCTAACTCATCAAACCCTTTGTGTAGCATTCACAGCACTACATAAACATTTAAGCCCTTTTTACTATTGGGAAATGGCAGTCCCAACATGCCTTATGCTGGCAGTTTTCTTGGAAGCAACAGTTTCTTACAGCACAGTTGGAACCGCATTTGAAATACTTTTTGCCTCTCCCAACATCAGTCTTTATGAACAGGCCAAAATAAGCATAATCTTGTTCAATATTCTTCATTTTTCTGATCACAGCAGGAAGAATTCTTGGAACTATTTTAGGAATCAGTAGCATGGAAGCTGCTCCTGAGTTTGCCCAGTTCTTAGTGGCTATTACTAACATGCAGCATTTGCCAAGAAGAAACAGAATTTCTGTGGCTTTGCAAGTGTTTTGGTGAGGGCAGTAAGCCAAGACAGAAACTTGTGCTCCAGCACACAGTGATCCTAATTCAGATTTAATAATTGCTGTGAGAAAGGCTTCTAGAAAACTCTCCATTGTATCATCCCTTTTGTAAGTTTCAGCCATGGAAAGATGGTAACCTAACAATTGAAATACACTATCACAACTGAAATATCCAAGAATAGTAAGCAAATGGCAGATGGGTCATTTGCAAGCCACATCCTTATCTACAGGATTACAAACAGTTAAGAAGACTGGTTATGTTTCTTCAGAATCATATTGCTCTCTAGAAACTGATTTTCTAAACCATTTATGCCATATGTTCACAGCCACTCAATGGGCTCAGAATAATGTAGGAGAGAGTTACACTAAGGCCTGGAGAAGCTGGATCTGTTTTTCTTATAACAAGGCAATTCAGCTTAATTTGTAAAGTCTTCATCAGCAGGAAATGCTTCTGATAATGAAACTGGTAGAGTTATATACTCCACACACCAATGTAAGCGTGATGCAAAACACCACATAATTAGCAATCTGTCTAACATTTGGAGCTACAGTTGGCATTCCAACTCCAGACAGGCTCAGTGCATCTCTCCAAGAAACACCAGGCACAGCTACAAGAGGCATTGCTCTGTGCCTGGAAAGTGATGTTTCATGATCCCAGTCTCAAACCTGAGGGCTGAGTACAAAACCAGTGGGTGCATTCACCTCTTAGCATTAAACAACTGAACTGATTTGTCATCTTCCCACAGACAGAAGATACTATCTGCTCCTACATGGATGTGGCATGCCATCTTTTTTGCCAGTGGCTTAACCACTTCCCTTGTTTTAACCAGTTTCTCTACCACTGTAAAATATCTCTGATTTCTTGCACTCCCCACTGTCTTTCCTCCATCAGTCTCATCCTTTCTTTACCAAGGTCCTTTTTGTGGTCTTGCTCAGCTCTGGATCTAAATACAGCAGAGTTGACAATTTCTTCCACATGTTGGACACTGGAATGAGAGAACAATTAAAACACTAGCAACCTGCTTAATGTGTTAGGAATCCCTTCCTTGACTTCAAAATGTTTTGCTCCATTAGCACTAGAAATAGTACACAAGAAAAAACTCTTGGTGCCAGCTCCTGCTGGAAAAAGGTGAATTTGAAGTGTCAATAATTGGTTCAATAGATAAAATAATTCCCTTTGAACTCCCAAAGCAGGCAAGCATCTGCAAAGTGAAATTCTACTAAAATTTTGGTATATGCATTAGCCTCCCTTAACATACAACTTCCGTGAGTTTGGAAAAACTCACACATTACTTAGAAATGAGCACATCAATAGCAGCATCTTTCTTTTGCTGATGAGCGAAGTTACACACTCAACTGTTTTGCAGACTTCAACCTGCATACCACTACAGGTTTTTAGGAGCTGCAGCCTCTTTTATAAGAACCTCAGTCTAACTGGTAAAGACTTCCGAGAGCTGTTTTCTGCAGTTTCTTGAAATCCTGCAGGAGTGCCAAGGAATCTCTTGCTGACAAGTTGAGAAACACTGCTCCAAATTACTGTTCTGCAGTTTTGTAGTTTGTTTAGAGATAAAGATTCTACTAGGGGAAAAATACAGCACAGATTATGTTATTACAGTAGTGAGACATGGAACAGGCTGTCCAGAAAAGATATGGATGCCTCATCCCTGGAATTATTCCAAGGCCAGGCTAGATGGTGCTCTGAGCAACCTGGGATAGTGGGAGGCATCCTTGCCCCTGGCAGGGGGGTTAATGATCTTCCAACCTAAAGCATTCCATGTTTCTATGGTTACTGCAGATACTCAAGCTTCCTCTAACCCTCGAGTGCTGTGTACTGCTGATGGGCTTCAGATCCTAAGTGTGCTGGACATTTGTTGTGAATTTGGTCTAACAATGTCAACCTGTAAGCAGTTCTCATCAACTCACTGCAGTACTTCTAGTCTCAGCTGAATGGAGTATGTTTGCATTGTACTGCAACTGCAGGACACTTCAGATGAAATGGGTGGATTATAAGTCACAGCAGTTCATGTTAGACAGACAATTCACATTACCACAGAAGTGCCCTTGTGTGACACATGCTCCAGAACTAGACAGAATCAGTACACAAATGACTACTACTTAGCTGTACAGCCTTTGAATTGCTGCATGAGAATGACCCCACGTGTCATGCTGTGGTCAGACACAAGTGGCTACTACAGCCCTTTGGTATGGCAGTGGTGTGTGTGCAGTCCTACTGCTCAGCAGAGCAGACTGGAGGGAACTGCACACACACAAGAACAGGAATGGATCCCTTAGGCTACATTTAACAAAAAAAGCATTGAAACTGTTTATGGTACACATAGTCTCATAACCATGCAGTATTACACTTCTGCCATCTTTTGGCGTTGATGAGTTTCAGCAGATTTTGAGCAATTAGATAAGCTACAGGGAGGCTCGTGTCTAAGGCTCAGGGTTCTGAACATGCAGCTGTAACTACAGGTAATGAAAGAGCAGAAACACAGAAAGGTATGGCCCAAGACTAAAAACAAATGAAAGAAAGTAATTTTGATATTTCAGATGAAATAAATTGCTATCAAATATTTTCAAGAAAGAGCTCTCTATTTTTACCTTGAAATACACATTTTTATTCCACAGTCTTTAGCTTTATGGTCACTTTGCTGGAAATGAAATGTCAACCAAGTAAACAGCTCCCATTTTCAAAACAGTTTACGTTTCCGGAACATATTACCAGAATACGCTAAACCTGGCAATTTTGTAATGATACTTTTCTTTTTTAGTTTCCCTAATAAATTACCCGGTACCGTACAGCCTCCATTCTTTTTTCTTCAAACACAACTGATTTTTTTAAGTTGGATTTTACCAAATTCACATGCTCAAAGACATTATCCTTAAAATTTTTAAATATTACAATTAAAAATTTTTACCAGGTCACAAAGCAACATAAAAATTGTGAAAATAGTAACGAAACTGTTGTCATCCTTGTACCATCATATTACGTCGACAACCTCTCTGAAAGTCATTAAAGATGGAGGGCCAAATGTAGCTCTTGGCCAAGCTTAGAGCAATTCCACTGACTTTAAAAGGAATGCACTTTTTAAAGTGAGGTTACTTTTAAATAAAAGCTGCCTCAGGTTAATGGAAATAAAACTGTCATCTACTCTAGATTTTCAAAAGGGACAATTTATCCTTTATCACTGGGCAAAAATGAATTTTCCAAAGTATTAATGAATTTTTGTCTCATCCATGCTTTGAAGTTTCGATACCATTCTAAAAGCTTTTTTCTCCTTTGAATCTTTTCTTGTAAGCTCATTTTTTTTTCTTTCTCTAGAATAGCAGGAAGCTCTTTCCAGTTTTTAATAAAGATAAATGGAGCCCCCATGGTTTTTAATAATTGCAATGGAGCACTGTGGTAGGCTGATGAATTTCCGCAATCACCCGGTGTCATTACATCTTCTATAACAGGCAGAGATCCATAGGAACAAGCTTCATAAATTCTGTAACATTCTGTATTTATTCCCACTGGGCACAATGTCAAATCACTCTGCAGCAAGGCATCTTGATAGTTCTTGAAACTCTCATTTGTTTCTTGAGGCTGCCATCTAGGAAAGGAAAAAGAGTGAAAATTAATATTTTCCCCACAGGCACTGCAATGAAAAAATAGTGATATGCTTTAATTTCTATTAGTTATAAAACTGAAAATGCTATTAGTGTAAAAATTTTGTATTACACACACAGTGAATTAACTTGTATTTTTAGTCTTAACTGCTCTTAAAAATCTTCTAAAAATTTATTGAAAATGTCACTGTTAAAAACAGATTGTAATATGTGGCCCTTTCTGGAAATTATTAACACTTAAAAGTGTAAAAAACAAATTGAAATGCCGCTCCAAATCTTCTGCATGACTTGGATGATGCATATGTCAATTTACTTCACAGCACAGTTTAGAAACAGACAAAAAGGGAGACACTCAATGGGCTTTTTAATGACTTTTTTTTTGGCCTCAAAAGAGGTTTGCTCTTCAAAACCTAGGAAGCAGAGCAATTGGTTTAACCTGAATTCATCTACTTGAAGTGCCTCAAGATGTCTGGGAGATAAGAGTTTATGTCACAGATACAATCCATCTCCTGAGACTCTTCATCAGGGCAGCTAAGGTCTACCTAAGCACCACTGTGCCTGCTATCCAACATTTTATAGGTGTTGCTTTTCAAAGTTAAGAAATACAATCAGAACCCTACTCTTGTTAGACAAAAAATAACTGTGCTGTACAGATTAAATCCACTCTCATGTGGAACTCAACAAAATATGGCTTCTTTTTTCTTTGGCTAAAGACATGAAACTCCACAAAATACAAGATAAGTGTTTCTTCTCATAATCAAATATTTGTAAGAAAAAAGCAGATGGTCTTTGATGGTTATATAGGTTATATGCAGAGGAGACTTTTCTAAACTAGATTTAAAAATATGCTTTATGTAAAATATAACAGAAATGCTGTTATGTTGACTTAAATGAAGAGTCTCTGCACTATTCCCTGACTTAATGACTAATTACCTTTATTTGTATTATTTTTTAACACTCAAGAAAAGATTGGTAATAATGAACCAGGCAAAAAACTCAATATTTTCATGAAGTAAAGTCTTACTGTTCTCTGGCTGCAATCCAGCAAAGTTTGTCAAGCCCATCCTGTTTCAGAATTTCGATGAGGGTTTCTCTAGAAGAATTCTTATAAACTGTTCCTAAGAAATTACATAGATATGATCTTGGATCATGTAGCATTGACCAGCTGGGTTCCACAACTGGAAAATTTCTGTAGCTGTAAAAAAAATGTGTAAGTTAGACAACCATATTAAAGGAAAACATTTTGCAGCATTTCATTTTCAGTGCATCGTATATTATGACTAAAACCACCTGCTTATTGCCAATCCATCTCTACAGACAGACTCAGAAGTAAACCAAGTCACATCCTGTCCTAAAAGTATGTCTTTATTCCCTTTACCCCCATCAGGCCCTTCACAAAGTTTCCAGAATACTTACATCTTCTTTCAATATTAAATGTGCAGATTACAGAATGTCCTTGACTAACATGCTTTTCCAAAGGAGCTGTTCTTGATGCAACCACAAGTTTTGACTGAAATGGCCAGTTTAACAGTAACTATGGCATGTAAGTCTCACCTACCTTAATCTCTGGATATGCTCCTCTACTGAAAATACCACTGGTCATCTCTCAAAGGAAAATCTTACTTTGATCTGAGTGAACTCAATAATTGAATCTTTTGGCTACTAAATAGCTTATTGTGCATTATTTGATGGAGCAGTCCTGTCCTCATTCTTCTCCTGCATGATGAATGTCAATTCACTTAGTTTCTAATAAGCTTTTGTTCCTTCATGACAAATATTTTTGCATCATTCCTCTTGACTTGGAAAATCCAGCAAATTTTCATGCTTTTAACCTGTTTTTTACAGCTGTTGTATGCAAGGTCTGGAAACCCCATTTTGATACCAAATTTATCTTCCTCCACCCAGCTTTGCACCCTCGTTTATTGTTCTAAGTGTTGTTGCTTTCTCTTCACTGTCACTTTAATCTCTGCATCTCAAAACTCAACTTCTCTCCACTTAGGAACTTCCAATACCATCGATTCTTTGACATCATCAATAATCCAAATTTAGCATATGTCAGAGACATTGTGAACAAGTTCAAGCTGTAGATAAAAAGCTCTATACAGTTTTCCAGCTTGTTGAGCAAACTAGATCAATATAGGATATTGAATTCAAATTCAACAGAAGGTATGAAAACAATCCTGTACTCCTTTCAGCTTCTATTACCCTGGTAAGTAGCTAAACCACTATCAACTCTGTTAATAAGAAGTAAAAATGCATCTAGCTGAACCAAACCTTTATTTACTCCACATTAATAGTTTGAGCACTAAAGTATAACAAAAATGTTTTTTTTTAAACAAGCAGTTAAGCAAGTTTACACTGCTGTGTTACTGGAGTATAACAACTCCAAATGGGAAGCCTTTTGAGCCATAACGGAGGTTAAAAAAAAGTACTCTTTGCTTTTCTGAACAAATAGTACCTGCAACTTTATTACATAATTTGAATCTCCATATCACTGGTATGTATTACATCAGCAGTCATGATAATCTCAAGAGCAAATCTACTGAAGAAAGAATAAACAGAAAATCTCAAGAGACACAGGTTCATTTTCCTTAAGTTTCCTAAACACTAGTACCCTTTTCCTGTTATAATTTTTATTCCTAAATGCAACTTTCAAAGACTCCAATGCCTGATTTAGAAAATGACTGATAGGATCACGTTCTGCAACTTACTTATTGAAATTGTTTTGGGCAAAAGCAGTAAGAGTCATATTTTCCATACCTCATGCACAACAATTAATGAATCAATTGCAACTTCTGTCTATAGCACTTACGTAGCTACTCCTAAAGGCCACTGGAAAATATCTTCTTCATTTACGAACGCGTAGTCATAGGTAACAAAGAGCAGATTGACAAATCCCCCGTTTCGTTTCAGGTATGGCTGAATCCAGGCGTTGTTGCACTGCTCGTTCCCGAGCAGCACCACGGCCACGTGCTGGATTTTGCGGGTCTCCATCAGGGTCTGTGCGTAGCGCAGCCACTGCGTGGCGTAGGCGATCTTCGCCGGCTCCCTCCCGTTCAGCACCAGCACCACATGCTCCGCTTCCACCGAGAAATAGCCGGGAACTACAGAGGGGCCAGTCAGGAAGCTGAGAAAGCCAAAATACATCATAAAACAAAGTAAGACTTTGTAAGACTAATTCTTGGCCTCAGTCCTCTAGCTAGTCTTACTACACTGCGCTCCAGAGATGGTATTTTCTTCAATAAAGTAAATGCAATATACTGCAAAATTAATGTGCAACTACAACCACTTCTGCTGTTAGTATGTACTGCTTAGCACAGAGTAAAGCTGCTTTCATTTTTATTCAGGAAAAAGGTGATTGACTTAAATAAGGTATTTTGTCAATAAATCAGAACTAGTACAACACTCAAACCTCAAAATGTGTGTAAATCAACCACCTTTCAAAAAAGGGTGCACCTTGATGTTCATATTTTCTTAATTCCAGTGATAACCAACGAGTGCTGTATTAGAACAAGAGAGAGGCCCCCCCAAAAACCTGAAGACTATCCACAATCTGGTATCATTAAGAGTGACAGTTAGCTAGTCTTGCATACTACTTTTCTCAGTATTTTGGTTAAGTTTCTTCTGTGTAGAACTGATAACACAAGAAACATCTATCCAACTTAGGTTGGCTGTATGCCCCAGGTCAAACTTGAGGCTCTGATACAAGGTAGTAAGCACAAACATTTTAGTAATAAAACGGCATTTGTAGATCTTCAACAATGTATTTAACAGAAGAATTTCAGTCATGTAGCAAAAGTACCAACTCTTTAATCATTTGCAAGTATGTGACAAAAGCCATTTATGAACTTCAATGAAACAAACCAGTATTTGCCAGCCCCCGCGCTAGTTACCGGGTGTCTTAACAGATCATTGACTGAATGCAAAGAAGTAGCAGTTACACAGCTTGGGAAAAAGTGGAGGGGGAAAACAGCATTGTTTAAAAATAAAAGTCAGTTAAGTGACAATTTTCTAGATCTGCTGCATTACTAGTTTTTCAGCTACCAGCAAAACTTAATTTAGAGTGAGCATGAGTTTTAACTCATGAAGTGCTGAGACTGACAGCTAGTTTCAGTTCAAATATACTTACTGAGCTCTCACAACAAAAACTTCACTGGATAACTTCACTGGAGTAAAGACTACTCCAGTGAAGTTATCTGAGGCAGATTCACCTTAGACAAGTGTATTTAAACCTGAGTTAAGCTGACATGCTGCTGGCTTGGTGGAAGTGATGTATTTTGGAGCCAAGATTCGTAAGACTCATGACTTGGAATAAAGATTTCTAATACATTAAATACTAAGTCAAATCAAGACTTAAATCCAAAGTTTAACAGACAATGAGAACAGAATCACTGGGATTCCTAAGAGAGAATACCTTGAGCTTTGGAATGTCTCAAATAGAGACAAAATATGTACATAGTCCAGTGATCACCTTACAAAGAGATTTGGAGAAAAAGGGTTTTTCTTTGAGGGTAACAGTTTTACAGCAATAACAGATGTACAGCTTAGGAAGCAATGACTTGTGTGTAGGAATATATGCAGTTGAACAGCATAAAATTACAGTGGGGGAAAAAAAGTAACACAGTGCAAGTCTCATAAATCCATACTTTAATAATCAAAACACCGTGCTAGGGCCATGCTATTAAGCCCCAATCAGAACACAACTGGGACTGGGAAATGGAAGAGACACTACAGAAGCTGCTAAATGGAGGGAGCAGTCCTTAGAGTACCAACCGCTCACATGAAGGCTAGAGAAAAGATAACATGGGAAGATTACATTTTTTGGACTAAATACGTGATTTGCTTTCTACAAAGTCCTTGTTTTTCCTTACTAGTGATAGATAGTCATACAAAAAGATGCTAATTTAGATTGGGTCTTACAGTGCCCATTCTGGAGGTGTTGAGACAGCCATTCTTTAATAGCAAGCATTAAATTTAATGCTTGCAGTAAGAGAGACAATAATAAATACATCCAGCATAGACATATGCCATACGCAAAAAAGAAATTACATAAAAATGAGAAAATCAAGAAAAGAACTTGGGAAGGAGCAGTCCAAATCACAAGTGACTCCCATCTACAAAAACAACTTGAGAGGACTCTGGAGAACAGTCAGTATTAATTCCCTCTCTGGAAGAGCCTGTAATAAACAGTAAGATCACTGAATCTTATCAATAGGTAAGATCACTGATCACATATACGGATAAGCACTGCTGTGAATGAGTTAATCCTGTTTCATTAATCTGATGAAGCATGTCAATAAGAACACAGATAAAGAAGATCCAGTGGGCATAGTGGTTTTGGACTTTCAAAAAGCTTCACTACAGGGTTTTATTAAAACTAAATTGCCAGAAGCCATACCAGGTGGAATCCTCTGATAGACAGAAACCTCTCCTAGTTGACTGAGGCAAGGCAGCGCTGAATGTTTATCAAATAGAGAGGGTGTGACTTGGGGGAAACTGAAATTTAGGAAAGCTCTTGCCAAATAAGAGGTAAGAAGTTTGGCACTCTGTGCTCTACAACATCTTCCTAGATGACAGGAGAGAATGGTGTGAATTGCTTCAAGCCAAAGAAAGTGTTAAATCCTGCTCTCTTGCTTTTTGTATGAATGTGCCAAGAGGCTACTAAAATCCACAGCAATGAATTTCCTTCACCACTTCTGTTTTTAAATAAACATTACTGCATTTTATAGAGAAGCTGATACTTCATGTATTTTTTAGGCAACTTCTTTGATGGAAATATGTACCCATCAAAATCTGTATTAGAGATGTGTATCCTCCATCATAAATATACAGAATGGGCTTATTCATGTAACTGTGTTCAAGTGGTATTTTGGCATTTTTGTGTCTTTAGATTTGTTATTCTTTAAAAACATTCACCAGACATCTATTTTTTAACAATCATTAGACTTACCACAGAGAACTGCAGAACAGCACATATTCTCCAAATATGTCACCTCAGCTAGTTCCCTCTAGCCTCATCTAGTAATCAAAAGATAATTTACCTCAGCCAGGCAGTAAACAATTCTAGAAAATAACCAGTGAGAAGCCAAAATCACATAATTCTTCTCCACAACATGAACTAGTATTTCCAAATAGAGTAAAAAGCCATTTCAGAAGCCTAGTTGTTAAAATAACAGTTATATTGCAAATTTTCTATACTTTGCACAAGTTTCTACTAACCTGTCAAAAGTTAACCTTTGTTATGCTGGTACTAAACTCAAGCTTTGTATTTTTATAGGACCTAGCATCCAAGTTGAAATTAGAATAGGGACTCCATTATCTCTGGCACATCTAGACAGAACAAGTATTTAAATGCAGGCATAGAAGTCTTTCTTTGAGAGATGCATACCCTAAGGAAACATGTGAAGTTATTAATCATCTGAAACAGGCACACTAGAGAGAAAATAACCATAATCAGTCAAGTGACAGACTCATTAAGTACAGCAAATTATTTTCATGTTATAAATGTGGGAAGCAAGAGCCTAAAGAAATTCTTATGTCAATACCAGGAAGATAACCTATCATGCCACAGTATCATGGATTTCTATAGCTTCTAAGATTTTAACTCTGGAAACAACAAAGTCTTTTGCCACTAAAACTACACTGTAGGCACTGGCCCAATATTCAAAGGAAGGACTGTATCCTTTCTCTATATTTGTGAATTGAAAACTCTATTGCTCTGTCAAGGAGACTACCAAGATGCAGAAGCATCATCCTAGTTGATTCTCTAAACTTGTAGGATCATCTTTTATTTGCAGAAAAGGAATATAGCTTTTTCTGTTAAAGACTACATGAATTCATCTATTTCTTCTGGAAAGACTCTATTGCCTGTACCATGTTTACTGTTAGATACTTTGATAACCAATTCAAAATTATTTTTAAAAGTTTTGTGATCACTTGAAACCTCCTTTCAATTCACAATCACATGTGTACTTCAAACACTACCTTCAAATATTTCAGCTAGAACCACATCTTGTGCAAGGAAAAAATGGCCTCCTGAAGCAACACATGTTTCAGAAGTTAAGCTCACTTAACTGTGTAATTAATGTATTAAAAGAAAACTTTTTTAACAGGCAGGTCCTGCTGCAAGTGACTAAATGCTGCAGGAGACCTACTTCTGCAGACTGGCTAAGTGGCCAAAGAGACAACGCATCTTCACAGAAAGCATTAAAATGGTATTAAATAGGGACTCAGAGAAAAGCTCTGTATCATTCCCTGAATAATGTAAAACGTTTGACAACAGTCTTAAACCATACACGATCACAGATCAAACACCACTGTTAAAGCAAACAGTGCTTTACGTGTAATCTTCCTTTCCATACAAAATTTTGGTTTGCAAATCAAGTAGCTAACCAGAGGCTAGGTCTCACAGGTAGCCTTTGTTATAAACAAATCATGGTTTTGACACATTCCTATTTATGAATGAACGAGCCAAATCCCTTTCCCCTGAATACAACAGAAACAAAGAGCAGGAGGCATCTTCCTGCCTCACACATGCATGCTTGATCTCACCAGCTATGAGCCCCCAGGCCCCAGCTCTTTACAGTGTTCTCAGGGCTGTATCCTCACCCTGCCACCGAAGTCTCTTGGCTGCTCTTTCTCTCAGAATTGGCAAGTTTTTACATATATTTTTAATAACACAAACCATCATAAACCAGATTAAATTCCTCCCTAGTTTTCTGTTTTTTAACAGTGACATGTTTGGTCTAGAATTGGTTAGATTTATCAAGTATGTGTTTTTGTGTACAAATTATAATTTTGAATGAGAAGCCATGTGCATATTACATAGTTATCAAAACATTACAAAATTAAAGTACTTGCAACTGTACTTGCAACTGTACTTGCAACAACACAACTTTGAGACAGCCAAAATAATGCCTGAGCAGTGCATCATTCAGTTTACCTTTCCAATGCCTTATTTACTAAAGTTTACACAATTGAAATCAACATCATGAACAATACCTGAAGTATGTTTTCCCTGCATTTTGGCTTCCTTCTCTCCACTGTGCAATCACATCAGCTGGCTCAAGGTGCCCTCCAAAAATGTGTTGCCAAAGGTAAAGGCCTACATAAATGAAGACATGATGGAGAATTTGAATGTACAGATCTTGCCTACTCTACGCTCCTAAAAAAATTATTTCTGGAAAATGAAAAAGCATCACAAGATAAGAACTTGGGAAATAAATGTCAGAGCTTCTTGCACAATATGACTTAGAATTAGTTAAGATTAATTTTTCCCACATTGACATTTAAAAAGATTCTTTGGCTGACAAAATATCAGCAGATGAAGATATACACTACTGCTTCTGTTAGCAACTCTTTCCAGCACACATACCACTAAAAATGAGCAAATATTAATTGGCATTTTAAGCACAAGCATACTACACAAGCACAAGCTTTTGTGAAATGTACCAATTTTTGTGATGGTAATATACCAGGCAATATACCTATGTGTTCTACAATGCTACGTGAAAGTTTGAGTGTAAGCCTGGCATTTCCAAAAAAGCTAAGCTAAGAACAGTGATACATCTTCAGCAGTAGTTAGAGGTTGAGAAGACCTTGGTTCCCAGTTTGTGTAGAGGGGAAACTCAGTATCTTCCACAAAAGAAGAATTTCCAAGTTCATCAGTGGTAGTAGTACTACAGTACACTGCACTACAGAAAACGCTTTATTTCTCATGGTGTGATGCTTTATTTCACAAAGTGTAAATGTGACAAAAATAAATAATCTGCTTAGGCAAGTAAGAGGTCTCTCCTTGTGTCATACTGTAAACCAGACTGGATTAAAAAAGTAAGTGCATTTCTTTGCCTTTTGAGACATTTTCCTTGACAGATGCAGAAGAAGAGCCTTGAAAGGAACTGATACAAAGGGAGTTCAACTACTTTTATGCTGCCATGAGTTTGAGTAACAGCTAAAGTAACATCTCCCTAATACTCCCCCATGCTCAGATATACATAAATTTTAATCATCAGGAAACCCAGAAAAGTGCTATTCCAGAAAGGTTAAATAACCAATAAAGATTGACTACATCTGCTTACCAATTGCTGCTTTGCCCCAAATCTGTACTCTAAGACTGGTCTGTTCTAGGTGAGACCTCGCATATTTTATCATTTTGAGATTAGCTTCATATCTCTGCTGAGAAGCAGCCAGCTCATTTTTCTCATCTGCATCCCACGGATTCCACTCTTCATTTCCCAAGGCAACATGATCTGTGAAACCTAAAAGCGTGATTTACATTAAAATAAAAAAAAAAAATTAAAAAAGAAGATCAAATTCACAACTCTAGGAAAACTGATTAATTTTCTCAAATTCGTAATTTCACGCAGCACCTGACAGATGCGCACAGGGTCGTGCACATCACCATTGCCACCACCACAACCACAACAAGCAGAGCCACAAGCACCGCCACCGCCGCCTCCTCCTGCCCCTCCGTGCCGCGCGGTGCCCGCCGAGGCCCAGCGGAGCCGGCCGCAGCCAGCGCAGGCCCGGCGGGGAGCGGGGAGGCGCCGGCCCCGCTCTCCTCCCTCGGAGGCCGCCGCCAGGCCCCGCCCGCCGGGCTGGCCCCGCTCCAAACCCACCGGGCCGGCTCCGCTCCAAACCCGCCGTCCCGGACGCAGCGGCCGCGGCCAGGCCGGGCAGGGCGGCTCAGCGCGGCCCCGCCGCCGCACTCACCTGGCGGGCCGTGGCGGTCCCGGTGCGAGCGGGGGGCGGCCGGGCGGCGCGGGCGCAGGAACACGGTGTAGGCCGCGTAGAGGGAGAAGAGGCCGTACGCGACGATCAGGGCGGAGCAGAGCCGCCTGCGAGCGCCCCGCATCCCGCCCGGCGCGGGCGGAAGGCCCGGCGGGGGGCGCCGGGAGGCGGCGGCGGCGGCGGGAGCAGACTCCGCCCGCCGGCCTGGGCCGGGTCCTGGGCCGCCGGGGAGGCGCGGAGCCGCCGGGGCCATGGGCTGCCCCTGGCCGCAGGCCCCTGAGCCTGCCGGCACAGCTGTGCGATGGCGGGTAACCGGGTTGGAAACGGAGAGATGAACAGCACAGTCAGGTTAAGGGAATTTTATTAAAATGGGCAAAGCTTGGATTGATCAGAGTGAGTCACGTTCCACAGAGAGATGGAAAGACTCTGCACGAGTCCTTCTTAAGGCTAGGTGCTACAGCTTCTGTAAAGCCTCTACCAGCCTGTAGACAAGCACCATGACCTAATTGTAGCCAAAAGCACAGTGCCCCTCACCTACCCAAGGGAGAAAGAGTCTGGAACAGTAGAGATTGTATTGCACTGCGCAACCCTACAGCCTCTTCTGGGTCTGAGTGGGTTTTTTCTTGATCAATTTTTTACCCTTGCTCGGATCCTGACCTAAAATTAATTCAGCGGACCACTGCTTGTTTCCAGCCGAAATCTTAGAAGGCCTTCTGAAACAGGCTTAGACTTAGCCTACTGCCAAATCCTTACTCTGATTTGATTGCTTGCACATTTGCTGAACTATGAGTCTAGCCTGATGATGCACAGTGGCAGCAATCACAGACTGTTGGGGTGGGAAGGGACCTTCGATATCATTGAGTTCCTACTCCCCCTGCTGTCGGCAACAGTACTGATACTGATACTTCCCTCCAGGCCAGGTTGCTCAAAGCCCTGGGTCACTTCCAAGGATGGGACATTCACGACTTCTCTGTCTTACCACGCTCGTAAGGAGCACTGCCCTCATGCCACTACTAGCTCTGGTAAAAAGTTTTTCTCTCACTTTCTTTTAAGCTGCTTTTATTTATTGAAACTACACATTAAAACCCTACATATAATGCAAATAACAGTTGTCACTATTACTAGTAATCTGTTGCAGAATTGCAGGTCAATACACTTATTCCTGTTAGGCTTCATGGCTACTTTGCTTTGCCTACAGTGATTTATAATTTTAGGGAAGAAGTACCTGTCATAAATGCTTTCCAAATTAAGACTGAGCTTCTCTTGCCTTTCTAGCTTAGTGCATGTGTGAATGCACAATGAAATGGTGCAGCCACAAACTATGGGAAGAGCAGCAACATATGTCATCGTCAATATTAAAATAAAGTATTAGCAGTTTTAACTGCAGTTATGTTTTCTAGACTATATCAGTAACTATATCTGTGTGCTGAGTTGCTGAAATTTAGGGAAAATTTTTGTACGAATAATTTAAATCAGAATATGATAATGAAAGTATGATAAACCCAGAACCAAAGGGAAATAAGATGGCAGTAGAAATTAATTACAAAGGGCAAAGAATGAAAAATGTTAATAATTTGGAAACACAGGCTGCCTATTGCACACCTTCACTGCTTTGGATGACGGTTAGAAAGGTCTCCTTCCCACACAGAAGCAGTTTTATTTCTTATAAAAATGACAGAAGAGACTTGAAAAGGTCAAGAAGGATTAATCAAGAAGAGTTTGAATTATAGACCATCTCAAAAATAGTGTTTTGAAAGTCTGCATTTGTTTGCATGCATTTCAATAAGAAATGAAAAAGTTAATGTGATTTGAAATAGTGATTATTGCTGAGCAGTCTTTCACAATACTGATGATAATGTAATCTTATTTATAGCAGAGAAGAAAGGTATACTAATCACAGTGAGGTGAACAGGCAATACCAATCAAAGTCTTAGAAATACTGTAGTAGATGGCAATGCCTGATCATTTGGAAAGAAATCCAAATCCAGAATTGAAAATGTGTGAGAAGAGCATATACTTTTGAGCATAGCATCTTTATCTTATATTTCCTAACCCACTAACTCATTGTACATTTTGCAAGTTGCATTGGCTCATTTCGTGGGCAAAACAGGATGTAAAAAGCTCTACATAATGTAAAAAAAGGTACTTATTTTATAAAATTTTATATTTTCCAGCCAGTTCAGGACAGACTCAAATAAATGGTTTTCCTGTAAAGCAAACTCAAATCACATAGAAGCAAGTGGGAATCAAGAATATAATGTAAAGAATGTACTAAGGGGTGTGTGTGTATTTGTGAGGGACTTAACAAAATGCCTTCATGAATGCAGATCTTGGAGTAGGAGCTTTGTCTAGGGATTACAGGAGTAAAACTTACAGAAACATTAAATCAGAAGAGCACCTTAACCGGGGTATTCCCTGAAATTGTGGAAAAATGTGCAGCAGACACCAAATTTAGGAAATGCCTGAATTTCATGCACAATGCCTGTAGGGGCCTGCAAAGCCTAGCAAGTACTCCTTTGTAGCACTCTAACAAATCTCTGATTTGTTGTAGAAGACCAAAAGCCAAATGTTATGTCACAAGAAGGGAGGAGAGATCAAAAGGATCAGGGATGTCTCAGACCTGTGTCAAGCACAAGATCATTGTATGTCTAGATGGCATTAAGAGGCAGACATGCCCTGCCGTGTAGGAGAGGGTGAAAAGTCCAACGGCCACGGCTAATGAGACTTGGAAAAATCCTAAACCAGATCTGATCAATCAGGAGGCTTAGATTCTTTCTTAGCTGTGACAGCTTGCTGTAGGGCCTTCTGGCAGATTATCTTGTCTCATGGGGCTCCAACTGACCCCTTGTAAAATGTACAAAACTGAGGTTCTTGGACTGTTAGGAATCCTAGCTAATGGGAAATAATTGAAGCTTTCTTTGAATGAAAGTTACTCAATAAATTAAGCTTTACAAGTTCTTTTCATCATAAATTAAGAGACAGTTAAAAAATTTATCATTGGGTTCAATAACATTTTAGGGACAGGAAAAAATAAACAAGAACACAGAACTACCTTCAACAAGTGTCTAATCTGTTCAAGAATTCATTACAGCAAATGAAAATTAACCTGGAGTTTCAAAATTAAGACTGAGTGCTGCTGAAATCCTAAATCAAAATACATTCTGCTGTATGTCAGGTAGTTTGAGTAAGCACCTAAGAAAGTAAGGTTTTTTTCTTATTAAAAGCGTTCTTTCTCTGTACATATTATGATAAAAGCAGAAATTCCCTGTTTTTACTACTCATGATTGCCTACAATATATAACTCTTCAGTCTCTGTTTTCCCCAACAAAATTCTTGTAGAACTTCTTGTCTTATCTTGGTCCCTGTTTGTTGACTATTGGGTTAGAATTGCAGATGTCACTGGGAAGTTTTAAAAAGCTGTATTGATCAACATGTGACATAGGCAGATCTGAACAAGGTTTTAAAGCAGAGTTAGGAGCGAAAGAAAGCACCAGTTAGACATCTAACCAGAACATGGAATGAAGACAGTTGTTGCCAGGGTCCCTGCAGAAAAGTATTGAGCTTCAGTTACTCCTCTATTGGTCCTGTCCTGATTGATTAAGAAGTTTGCAGAGCTTTTTTTGCCACCTGCACAGTGTTGTAGCCAGCCACTGTTACAATTTGTTACAAAAGCCTGAATTTCCTCTTAAGGCTGTACCATGTCACAGACATTTTTTCATAGAAATCGTTTCTTTGGGACTTGTTCATCTTCTGGGAAGCTGAGGCCCCAGAAAGAGAATGTAAACAATGATTATCAGCTGCTGTGAAATGCAATAGGATGCACCTGTGATTGGGTCATGTTCCATGTGTACAATTAAGGGCCAATCACAGGGCAAGCTCTCTGGAACACAGTGACAGAGAACTCTCTTGTTTTTAGATTCTTTTCTATTCTATTCTTAGCTTAGCAGCCTCTGCAACTTCTCTCCTTATTCTTTTTAGTATAGCTATAATGTATTATATATCATATATCAATAAATCCAGCCTTCTGATCATCAAACAAGATTCTCGTCCATCTCTCTCAACATGAAGACCTCCTCAGGACGCTGTAATAGTATCATACATGGCTGAATGAAAATCTGAAGTCTGCAGAGGACAATTAAAGCTGGGAAGCTGGTGAGGCTGCAGATCACAGTGCCCATTCTTAGCCTTTGGCAGAGGTGATCTTGTGATGAGAGGTAACAGTCTTTGGGGCTCGTTACTCCTTGATTAATAGAAGTGCTCCTTTCTACTGACTCTGGTTTGTAGGAGTGCGCCCTGACATCATGCTTCAGGCAGAACAAGGCTCAGGTTGATTTTCTTTTTCCCTGAAACTAATTACAGTGGCTGAACTGTCACTTCAACAGCATTTTGCTTGAGGCAGCGAGGTAAGGAACTTCTGATGGGGGTAAAAAATTAAGGGCAGTAAGCTCTTGTGATTTGGTACAGATGGGTCAATAAGACAGTGTCCACCTGTGGCCTTCTAAGTTCATAATTTAGGTGAGGACAGTCTTCCTGAGAAGGTAACACACTTCAGGAGTATCAGAATAAAGTAATTTTTCAGCTTAATGAAGTGACAAAACCACTTGCCATTCTTAGTTCTATATCACTCTCACATTCAAGACATACCTACCTGAAGATATTTTTAGACAACAAAGGGTAATCCTCCCATGTGTTACATTTAGAGTGTCTCCAGGCTGAAGTCTTTACTGGTAACTATTCTATTCCCTTATATTCTACTCTGTCAAAGCATAAGGTCTCTCAGAACACAGTGTCTCTTCCTGGACACAGAAAGAAAGGACTCCTAGGTGCTGTTTCCTAAACCTCCTACACATTTTTTAATATCTGTGTCAGGATTGGCTTAGACCTTTCCAACAACCGAAATGGGTTTGACGTAAGCCATGCCTAACCAACCATACCAAACTATTCTTAACCATGCTCCCTCTTGTTCCCTGAACTGTCACATCTCCACTATTTTTCTAAGTTGGTTTATTGTAAAGGAAGGCAGCAAAGTCTGCTCCTTTACCATTTCTTTGGATGTTCCCACCCAGATAAAAACTTTATGGCTCATTTGCTGTTTCAGTAGGCTAAATGCACCCTTTAAGAACCAATTTTTCACAATCTTTTACAATCT